GTTTCCTTCCTTCTTCTTTCGAGTTGGAATTGCAAGGCTGCTCTTCGTCCATAGCATTTGGTGACGAACTAGGGAGGGAAACAAGAAATAGGTTATTTCTCTTTCTCAATCGCGACGCTGAAAGGAAGGAGGAAGGAGAACCCAGGCATATCCTAATGACCTTCTCCCTGCTATCTGCGAAACCTTCCTCCAGGTATCCACGCCAAGAATGTTTGAGAGCAGGTCTTAGCATGAAGAAGACATTATAATTCTTTTAACGAATTCATGACGAGAAGCGTGTTTTGGATTTTAAACAAGATCAATGTGTCCTGTTGCTGCGTTCCAGGAGGATAAGCTAAAGCTTTGGCTGAATCATAAGCTGTTTGTGAAGTTCACAATTTTATAACCAGCCGATCGAAATACAGAAGCTCCGTAGAGACATGCAGGAACCCATCTGGCGATCCAATGGATTTTTATTGGCAATAATAAGTAGAGAGTTAGGGGGGGTTGGGGAAAAGTCCTAGAGGGAGGGAAAGGGAAATTAAGTTTCGGAAGAAATTGTCCTGTAAAATCAATTTCCTTCCACTCAGCGTTCCTTAAAAAAATGACAAAATATTCTCTTTCACATTTTAGGGAAGAGAAACTAAGTCATGATAAAACTATAACGTAGAGCTATTTTTGTATGTTAAAAGTACTACAGCAGTGGTGGGTTCCGGATCCCGTTCCAACCGGTACGGGATCCACATGGATATGGGCAGTGCGCGCATGCGTCTTAGCACCTCCGCGAGTCCCTGTGATGCTCCAGCTGCTCAGCGGAGCGTCTCACAGGCGCTGTACACGCCGTGCAAGGAAGCACTGAAGACTTAAAAGACCGGTAAGGAGTTTGGGCGGGCGAGTGGGCCCTCCGGAGCACCGGAACGGAACGGAATCTGGTGCTCCGGGCAGGCTCCGGTACGCCCGTACTGGGGTGTACTGCCTGCAACCCACCACTGTACTACAGGTAACTCACGATGTACAACTGTTCCTTTCGTGACGGCTCTAAGTTACAACGGCACTGAAAAAAAATGAGTTATGAACATTTTTCACACTTACGACCGTTTTGGCACCTCCTGGTTAAAATTCAAACATAATGGCGGCCGACTCATATTTATGACGGTTTCAGTGTCCGGGGTATGTGTCACGTGATCCCCTTTTGTGATCTCCCGACAAGCAAAGTCAAATGGGGGTAGCTAGATTCACCTAGCAATCGTGTCAGTAGCGTAACAACTGCAGTGATTCACTTAACAACTGTGGCAAGAAAGGTTGTAAAATGGTAAGCCAAATTCATTTAACAAATATCTCACTGAACAACAGAAAGTTCAGGCTCCATTGTGAGTCATACGCCGAGGACTACCTATATGTATCCAAAGGATAATAATTTATTTGTCTGAAGTGGTATAGGGTATCCTGCCTAAGCAGGGGGTTGGACTAGAAGACCTCCAAGGTCCCTTCCAAATCTGTTCTTCTATTCTATTTGCAGACTGCATTATCTATAAATTTAAACACAATAGCCACGAATGATTGAGGGAGACGGGGGCGTTATTGTTTTTAATTGTTTTATATTGTTTTATTATTATAATTTTTTTTAAGCTGCCCAGAGTCACTGAGAATGAGGGGGGCAGCCATTAAAATATTCTAAATAATTAAAAAAAATATAACGAGGAATATTTCTGGCTCGGCAAGGATCTTGTACCCATCCCTGCTGCCTTTACCTTTTCGAACTCAGAGATGCCATTGGATTCCAGAGTTTAAAAAAAAAATCAGGCTCAGCCAATTTTGCACATCTTGGAACGAGTAAATATTTTCCAGGTGCTGGACTCTGTGCAGCTGGGAGAAACCTTTGATTAAAATGAACTCTTCTTCTTCTGTCGACATCACAACAAGCGCAGCTCTGGTTTGAAGGTCGCTGAATGAACCGTTGTAAGTCAAGGAATAGCTGTAGCTGTAGCTCAGGGTTGAAAAGAAGGACTCGCCCGTGATCTCTGAGCTTGGTGGTTTCCTTGCAGATGTTTCATTACCCAAACTAGGTAAATAAAGTAGAGAGAAAATCCCACTTCTTTCTAGCACTGATGATGTTGCCTAGTTGAGTAATGAAACGTCACCAAGACAACACGGAAGCTCAGAGAGCACCAAGGACCCCACAGTTCTCTGGCTCACCCTGGCTGAGGAATTCTGGGAGTTGAAGTCCACAAAGTCTTAAAGTTGCCTTATTTGGAGAACCCAACTTGGTACTCAACGCATTTCGATGTGAAAATGGCGTCCCGATACTCATTGTTTGCTTGGTACTCTACGCACAAGCTGGAATTGATCAATGTCACCTGCCTTGTGATTCATACATTATTCTTATTATATAATGTAATAATTATTACATTATAATAATAGATGGAATTTTTTT